CCCAATTCTACCTTACAAATCTGGCTAGACCAGAGGATGTCACTGGTACAGATAGGAGAGGGAAACACAGGGAATTCAGGACAGATGATCCCTTCAGGACCAGTGGTGAGAGTGGTGATACCGGGAGGGTGGAGGGAAGGTGGGGTGGAAAGGGGGAACCGATTACAAGGATATACATATAACCTCCTCTGTGGGGTATGGACAACAGAAAAGTGTGTGAATGGAGACATCAGACAGTGTAAGATATGACAAAATAATAATAATTTAAAAATTATCAAGGGCTTATGAGGGAGGAGGGAGCGGATAGGGAGAAAATGAGAATTTGACACCAAGGGGTCAAATAGAAAGCAAATATTTTTAGAACGATGATGGCAACCAATGTATAAATGTGCTTGGCACAATGGATGTGTGTATGGATTGTGATAAGAGTTGTATGAGCCCCCAGTAAAATGATTTTAAAAAAAAATCCTTGACCACTTCAATAATAGACTTACGAATAGGTAGCAGAGGTAAGATTAGGGGAGAAGGAAATGAAAAAAAAAAACAATAGAAGGGAAAGTAGTAAATGAAGTAGGATAAAAAGGATCAGGTAAGGTTAGTTTAAGAATTATAATTTTTAAAATAAACACCTTATTTTGAAAGGATAAAAGAAAGAGTAGTACTAATTGAAAAAGACTGTAAAGGTAATACAAACCTTTGTCTTAGTTAAAAGTAAAACGAAAGAGGACAAAGGAAGAAGAAAAGGAAAAAGAGAGAACTGTTGGTATTAAGTTAGGGTCTCAGTTCTGCCCCGGAGTGTTATAGCTGGTGTGAACTGAGAAAGCGGTGTTTGGGGGAGAGGGCTGAGAAACCTAGGTGTGCTTAGATCCTGGGCTGGGAAGCACAGAAGGGCAGGACTAGTGGAGCAGTTGCAATCAGTGGCTGCGGCTGAGTGACTCCACCTGGCTGAGTGTTTGGGTTGGCTGCAGTGTTGAGTCTCAGCAGTGGTCGGGGGTGAAGGGACTGAATGCAGCAGGAGGACATGATGTTACTCAGGGCAGTGCAGGGCTGAGTGACTGTGAGGGCTGGGCTCACACCTTTCAAGAGAAGAGTCTGAGAAGAGTCAGGGAAGAAGTAGCAGAGCCACGTACCTTTTATTGGGATGGGAGTTGGGGGGGGAAGAGGCAAACATGACTGGTTCCAGGAGGCAGGATATTGCTCTGAATGTCCTGGGGTGGTCTGAAGGAGGTGCTGGTTGGGAGATGAGGGTGTTGCTAACTTAAGGATTTAATGGTGGCAGAAAAAAAATATTTTTCTTAAAAAGCGGGAAAGAAAGGGTGCTACTGATTAAAAAGGGAACAATAAAAATAGTACCAAGATTTTTGTTATAAAGAGGCAGGGGAAAAAGGTAAAAGTCTAAACTCTGCCCTGAGAGAGTTCATAATGTGCAGGTCAGGGGTCAGTGGGGCAATTGAAAGCAGTGACACGGG